CTGGAAGAATTCAAGGTGACATTCAGTTCCAGATTAGCTGATGTGGGAACAGTTTTTGCTGCTGATGAAGAGACCTTTCGTTTTATTGCTTGTTTATTGATTTATTCATTTCTTTTCTGAAACTACAAAACAACGTTAGTGACACAGTTCTGGACTTCTGCACATGAGCACTGTGGTATCATTTACACAACATGGTCATAATACTTAATATTTCTCAAGTATTTTGTCTATAATTTAGGGCTTATAGAGCTTTACAGTGGGGGCTCAAAATTTGCACACTGTCCAGGAAATCCTCACTGAGGACTTTCTGTCATGGACTCACACAGCTGGCCCTTTACTCCTGGACAGTACTGTCTGCATGTTCTTTGTGGAACTGAATCAAGCGAAGAAAAAAGACCAACATTAGATGAATAACTAGGTGGGAAACAACCCAAGTTAATGGTCCCATCTCAAGGGTGTGAACATTGAGAAGTAATGGATAGAAATAAAGGGCTAAAGGGGCCTGACTTCACCCACTTGTACAAATTATGAGAATCACGAATTTTCCCAACATAGATGGTCCAAGCCCTAGTGTCACGTACTATATAAGCCACTCCCAAGTAGAGCAGGGTGATACTTCTCTATTGCATTGGATTATAACTTAAACATGTAAGAATATGTTTTTAAACATAATCTTATGAGGAGCTCAAGTCTGGGTGGATATTTTTTTCTGAGGATTCACATGATTGTTTCTTGTTGCCAACTTAGCAGTTCGAAAATCTTCACACTGTCATGCAGAGGATACAAATAAACTACATGCATCTCTGAGATGATTGTTCACGATGCTGCTTGTTGCCATGTAGGACACAGTCGGATGACACAGTGGAGGTTCTCAACACCATTGACACCAGAGAACTTTTTATGAAAATGGTCCTATTCCTCTATTCCAGAAGTTAGGGATAGAGCTCTCCAGAGGGTGCCGTACAAGTTCGGTGTGAGCCCTGTTGCTATAGGAACACAGCCAGCCCTAGGTACCTGTGGGAGATTGGTCCCAATACTTTTCGGATCTTGAAAGTACACACCCCTAAACCAAAGATGCTTCATTAGTTACTTTTCTGTTGCTGTGATAAAACATCATGACCAAAAGCAATTTTCAGAAGGAAGAATTCATTTGACTTGTGGTTCCACAGGGATTTGAGTCTGCCATGGTGGGAGGCATGGCAGCCAAGGGCTTGGAGCAGGAAGCTGAGAGCTCATATCTTCATGTGTAAGTATGAAGCAGAGGGAGCTGGAAGCAGAACAAAGTCATGTGATCTCAAATCCTGCTCCCGGTGACACACTTCCTTCCATAAGGCTGGACCACCCAAATCTCCTCCAAACAGTGCCATCAACTAGGAACCAAGTTGTCAAATACCCAAGTCTATGGGGACATCTCATTCGAAGCATCACAGATGCTCAAGTCACTTATGTGAAATGATGTCACATTTACATATAATCTCTGCCTATTCTCATGTATGTTTAAACTCATCGTTAGGTTAACTACAATAGCTAATGTGATACATACACCATGCAAATAGTTGTACTCTGTTATTTAGGGGCTACTGGCAGAGAAGAAGGTCTGAACATGCTCAGAACACACACAGTTTTCAAATAAATATTTCAGTGCACAGTGGGTCAAATCTGGATGCAGGGGGCTTACCATCCTGTCTTCCAGGTCTCTGACAGCATGGTGGTTAATTTTATGCACCAAGATGGCCAGGATACGATGTCCTAGTGATTGGTCAAACACTGGTCTATAGGTGGCTGTGAAGGTATAAGATTTAAAAGCAGAAGAATGAGTGCGGACTTATCCAGCCCACCGAAGGATTGAACAGAAGTGAGGTGGTTCTCTGGGCAGAGCCCCTGCCTCCAGACTGCCCTGGAATTCTGCAGGATCACTTCCTGTCCACTAGTCTGCTTCTCAAGGGCAGGCTTGCCAGTCCCCACGGCATGTAAGCAAGTAAGCTTACATGGCATGTAAGCTACCCGCACATCTCCATTCTCCTCAGGGATACAAGCACTTCCCAGGAGCTCCGTTTCCCTGGAGATCTTTGGAGGCAACATGAGAGTTTGTTCTCTAGGCCTCCTCACTTGCCTAAGCTCAACTGCATGACCCAAGTCCAGCTGGGCCTCAACTGGCTGTTGTCCACAGGCAGGAATTAGTGCAAACACAAAAATTAATTTCAACCTAGGGCTTAGGGAATTAATAGGGGATTTGGCATTTCATAGATACAACTGATTTTCATCAGTCATTTTGTTGTAGATCATTCCTTTCTGTTAAAGCCTCTTTATTGAAAAACTCTAGCTTTCAGTGGGCAGGGAAAAGCCAGACAGGCCTCAGTGTAAATCCTTGTGCTCTGATCCTCTGAACAGCTTCAAGGAAGAAACTTAACCCACACAAACTGTGTTTTCCCTGTCAAGAAAGCTACAATTTTTCTTTTTCTGGCTTTGTTTCAGAAAGCATCTTGCTCCTTGGTCAGGCTGGCCTTGAACTTGGAATCTTCCTTCCCCTGCCTCCTGTGTGCTGGGACAACAGGTGTGTAACACTATTCTCCTGGCATGGCATAGCCAAAGTGCCAGTGCCTGCAAAGTTTGTGGTATGTGCCCAGCAAGCGGTAGCTCTCATTACTGTGGCTTCACTTAGGTCATATGGAGACATGATGAGAAGGTATCACTGCTAGCTGGTGTTTGGATGACTATTTTCTGGTTAATTTTGAATTTATGGCAATGTGGCAGAGATAACACAACTGACTGCAGGCATGTCAGTATGATTATTTTAGGTTGGTGCTAAGTGCCTACTTCAGGGGACAGCCACAGTCTGTCGGAGACTCAAGTAGCTGTGTATAATTCTAGGGATGTCAGAAAGTGTGGCCAGGCTTCAGCTTTCTGTTTCTTGCTGGGCAGAGAGCTGACCACCAATGTAAGCAGAGTAGAGTGTGAACAAAGCCAGTGGCACCAGTCCCTTCTCTACTTGACACCCACAAAAAGTGCAATTCTAATACATTTGAAACATGAGCATAAAGAATAAGTTTGGACTAAGAGTACAGGCTGGTTTCCTAGAACCTTCTGCAAGACTTTAAATAAAAATTACGTTGCGACATTCTCATCTTAATCCTCTGCTCAGAGGAAAAGCTTTCATTTTTTTTTCCCACAAATATTTATAATTTGAATAGATTTTTTTTTAGAAATCTTTTTTATTAGGCTCAAAAAGCTTCTTTAATTTTAGTATTAAAAAACTTTTTTTTTTTGTGAATTTCACACCATGCACCTCAATCCTATTCATCTTCCTCTCCCCTTATACCCGCCCTCCACCCTTACAACCTCCCTCCCAACAGAGAGAAAAAAAAATCTCATTGTGGAAGCTGTAGTGTGTCACAGCGTGTCTCGCAGTATACCATTTTGTCCTCACTTATTTGCTTGCAAATGTTCATTGCAAAGACCTGTTGGTTTGGTGTGAGGCCTCTGGCGTTTGCTACTCTATCAGTACTGAAACCTCACAGGGACTCCTCTTGGATATCCTGTTGCTGCCCCATGTCATGGAGATCCTGCAGCTTTGGATCTGTAGGACCAGCCCCTTCATGCACTCCAGCAGTTCATCTTTGGGGTAGATGTTGGGCTGGGCCAGTTCAAAGCCCTGGATCTGGGCCTGAGAGCTATCTGAGCTGGTCAGCCTGCCAGCTCCCCTGCTCTCCTGCCCTCAGGACAGGCCAGCTCTACCCTGCTGCCCAGGCAAGATGCAGAACCAGCTCTCCCAAGTGCTGCAGCCGGTGAGGGACATGGACAGTTCTCCCACTCTCATGGCCCTGAGGCCAGGTCTCCTGCCTGCTGTAGCTGGTAATGAACAAGCAAGGGGAGGAGGGCATAGCTCCCTCCACCTTACCACCACCCAGCAGACACGAGGCAGGGCAGGCTCTCCCACGCTTATGCCCTCGTGGCTGGCTCATCTGCAACCTCCACATCCAGAGCCAGCTCTACTGTGCTGCCCAGGTGAGGAACAGGGCCTGTTCTCCTGAGTGCTGCAGTAGGTGAGGGGCAGGGACAGCTCTCCCGCTCTCATGACCCACTCGCTGAAGGTGGTGAAGGGCAAGGGGGAGGAGGGTATCTCTTCCCCATCACACCACCACAGTGGTCAGGCCAGGTCTCCCACGCTTAGGCTCATATCCTCGGCGTCTGGCACACTCAAAACTCCCACAGTGTGTGGGGCTGTTTTCCAGAGTACTGCAGCTAGCTAGAGGCAGGGTCAACCCTCCTGCTTGCATGCCCCGAGGACCAGCTCTTCCATGATTCCCAGGGGTGGAAAGGTGTGGGGCCAGTTCTGCACAGCCTTCAGGATGTCACTTATCAGCAGCCCAGACCAGGGACATTCATTTGGCCTTTGGTGGAAACAGACCCCTGCTGCTTCAGAGCCACAGACCCAGATGTAGCCCCAGGTGGCAGCACAGGCCAGGAACCTTCATGGCCCCAGGTGGCATCACCAACTACTCATATCAGGCTGTTCCTCACTACCCCTGAGTCCCTGGTTCTACCTCTCTTCACTGTACTCCCTTCCTTCTCTTTCTTTTTTTCCATGTCCCTACCATTTACTTGCTCCTCTTAGAGGCATCCGGGTCTCTGAGTGTCTGGGGCATCTCAGGAGTGGTCTCAGGAGTGCTATACCTCACCTGCACATTGTGGCACCAGACAGGGGTCATCTTGGGCATGGTCATCCCTCACAGGCCTGTGTGGCACTCAATTGGTGGTTGTCTCAGGCTAGCCTCCTGTCCAGGCCCCATGGTGTTGGTCTAGTGGGCATCTCAGGCTCACTCCTCACCCGGCCTGCCTGAGTGGCCCCACTCAACAGACATCTGTCTCATGCTCAGTTCTGCTGGGGCATCAGTCCCAGGCAGGGTTCTTCTAGTCTCTGGCTTGCTCCTGGTCCTGGGAGCCATCTGGGCCTGCGTGGCACCCGACTGGTGTTTATCTCAGGCTTGCTCTTTCCAGGGAATGTTAGGCTACTAATCATTTAGACGTTCAGAGGTCGGAACACTGAGCACAGACACAGCCTCTCACCTCTCTGCCACCTACTGACGCACACCTGGCACAGCAGCCACTCCTGCAGCCTTCTAGGGGGTGAGTCTGGTGTTTATTTTTCTGTGTCAGAAAAGCTGTTGACATTTTGGAGATGCTTCGTCGTGATACTCGTGATTTTTTTTTTTTTTTTAACTAGAAAAACACTGAAAAACGTGGGTGGATTTTCAGGTTATCACCGAATGTGCCTTGCCTTCTTGGGATGTACCCTAGCTAGCCATGATGCAGTGTCTTTTATATTGTCGCATTTAGCTTGCTGAAATTAGGCTTTCAGTGCATATGCGCACATGTGCAGTAGTGCCTCAGAGGCTCACGGGGTGTCTGCCTCTAGTTTTCGTTGCTTATAATGCTTTTGGTGTGTTATCAGGGTAAAGCTGTCTCTTACTGAGACCGGAGAAGTAGCCTGTTCTGTACTCTTGACTTTGGGTGGAATCAATATTAATTATTTTAATTAATGTCAGGTGACGAGGCCATCTGAAGCTGATATTTTCTTTGTGGGATTTTTTTTTTTTTAAGTACAATGTATAAGAATAGAGATGGGGAAATTTAACATGGTGTGCCTCATTCTAAGCACACGTATTTCCTCTAAAGACTTTGGCACTCTAACTTGTTACTATATTAAGTTTTTTTTAAAAATAACATTCTCTTCTTTTCCTTTGACCACCAGTAGAATCTACAGGGAAGTCAACACCCCTCTTCTTACTATTAACAACGGGGCCACTCTCCCCTCCCTTCCTTTCCCTAATCTTCTCTTCATCACTTCTCCCCTCTCCTCCAACAATCTGACCATGTTTTTGTTTGTTTGTTTGTTTGTTTTTGTTTTTGTGAGCCGAGATCTCTCTATGCAGCTCTGGCTGTCCTGGAACTTGCCATGGAGACCAGGCTGCCTCAAACTCACAGAGATCTCCCCCTGCCTCTGCCTCCTGATTACTGGAATGACAGGCATGTGCCACCATGCCCTGTGGTTTGTCAATTTTATTGACTGTCTCAAAACAAATTTTCCAGCTATTAGTTTCTTGTTTTCCTGTCTTCTACTACACTGATTTATGATATAATTTTGTTTTCCCCTTCCCTTTGGTTTCTTCTGTATCTAATTTGCTCGTTGTTCTCATTTCTAAAGGTGAAGCTGAGGTCATAGATTAGAGACTGTTCTTGCTTTTTAAACCTAATTTGGGGCTATAGTTTTCTTTCCAAGATTTGTTTTTCCCCCAATTCTGTTATGTTGTGCTTTGGCAATCACTTTCTTGAGCTTCCTTCTGATCTTGCCCCTTAGAAGGCATGGACACTTAATATTGACTGTTACACATTATTGCTTTTTCCTTATTTTGTGCTGGCTGTTTTTGCTTCCTGTATATACATCTGAGCTTGCTGTGAGCGTCACTCTTCTTGTCTTGGCCATGGAGGGCTCCACCTAGGTTCTGCCTGTAAGATTCCTTAGGGCGGCTGTTCTCAACCTGTGGGTCATGCACCTCCTTGGAGGCTGAAGGAAACTTTCACAGGGGCCACGTATCAGATATCCTGCATATCAGACATTTACATCAAGACCACTACAGTAGCAACATTATAGTTATGAAGTAGCAACAAAAATAATTTTATGGTTGGGGGGTCACCACAACATGAGGAATTGTATTAAAGGGTCACAGCATTAGAAAAGTTGAAAGCCACTGTCTTAGGAGGACCTGCGCTTACTCGATGCCTTGCTGAAGCAAGGGTTCCTGATGGTTCATGGGCCCTGCTGGTGGCTAGGGCCTTAGCTCCTGCTCCGGCTTTCTGTGTCTGGCTGAATGCAGATTCTCTCTCAGTCCTTTCCAGTAGCCACCCCTCATCTGCACCTATGGACCATGCTGGGTCTTACAGTGGCCTCTGCATCTCCGAGTTCCCACAAGGATCCCCTTCTCCAGGCTCCCCACCCTGCTCCCTCGGTGCTCTGACTTGTGCAGCCGTAAGCTTGGTCACAGTCACACTTTCTGAGTCATGGACTGGATCGTTCCTGGTCAGCTTCACGGGTCAATCATGTGACTCTTTGTGCTGCGATTAAAAAAAAAAAAATCTTACTTGAGCAATTCTTTTTTCTCACTTTGTTACTTCATAGGGAAGGTCCCTTTAAACTCATCTTGGCGCTTTAATCTAATGATAGTCTTATGGGTGACAGGCACCGTTATTTTTCCTACTGTACAAACAAGGGACACTCCAACTGGCTGTCTTAACTCCTTAGGGTACCTGTCGCTGAGGAGCCTGTGCAGGCTTTGGTCTACTTTTGAGCCAGGGCTGCAGACCTATGAAATCAACAGTGTCCGCTAGGGGGCGGCAGAGGCCCGGTGTGCTCTAGCTCATTGCTGGGTTTTCCCTTTGCCGCCTCCCTCCCTCTGTAATTTTTTCCAAATCCCCCTACTACTCTGGGGATTTCAAAGCTCAGCGTGGTTGCTGCACAATTTCTCTTCTTGGACTGTGGGCCGAGTCACTCCTCACAGTTTTCTGTTGCAAGTAAACAGGGAACAGAAGTCACATGGCTTCGTAATGAAGACGTGCAAAGACTGACAGCTGGGTCTGGATGCTCTGGAGTTTTCTGGCTGTCTTCTCTATGGTTTGCTGGGCTTTGTTTTCAGACCATTGCCCTTCTTAGCTAACCAGCTGCCTGCTGCTGTTCTAGCCTCACATCTCACACGCAGAAAAAGAGAGGCTTTCCCAGCCCACCAAGAAAGTCTTACTTACTTGATGGGATCAACTAAGGGGTAGACCGGCTTCCTCCAAACCCTGCTCACAGCCACCCACCTCAGCAAGGGCTTTCTCGCATCAAATACTGTTGCGCAGTCAATGTCTGTGCTAAACAGGCTGAGAGTCTGCAAGCTAATGGGAGCCGACCTTCGCAGCTGGGGCGCAGGCCAACACCCTCAAGCACACCGTCTGCAGGCCATAGGAGCAGATGAGGCAAGCCAGTGAGCTTTTGTAGATAATCATCACGGGGTAATTCAGGAGCCCACAGAGTGTCAGGCTCAGACCTAAGACCACGACAGGTGTTCTCTGAGCCAGCTGGTACCTAAGGGCTCACCGCGCAGACTCAGGAGCGGTTACATAGCCTCAGAGAGTTTTCAGATCCTGCCGGGCAAAGCCAGTGAGGTGGGGGCTGGGACCTGACCTATTTGTAGTCTGGTTCATTTGCTGTCTCAAAATAGATTTATTACCTGCCAGGCATAATGCTAAGCACCAAAAGGTCTTCAGAGAATGTGCTGTTTACTTGGAAGGGAGGAAAGCCAATAGGTACAGTACAGTACTCAAGAGCCCATGGGACACACACACACACACACACACACACACACACACACACACACACACTGGAAGCTAAAGGAGCTGGAGCACTCAGTGACAGCATCTTCTTCAGCTAGTGGAGGCTGAGCAGCACCTCAGAGAATGAGCATCTTTATGATTTGAGGGACCAGGAAAATGACCCAGGCACAGGAAGAAGGGAAGGGCCTGTCGGTGGCTGGAGGAAACAGGAGCAAAACACCAGTAAGAGAGGAAGTCGGAAGGCTTGTTACTTCCTTTGTCTCCAAAACACGAACGGATTCATTGATGTTACTTGACAGTTTCAAATACTGAAATGGTGAAAAAAAAAAAATCCACAAGAAACCAAACCAAAACATCACCCGTACCCCTGCGTCTGATGAAGGCTTTAGATACTGGGTCCCCAGGCACAGTCGGTAGAGACAGCTGCGGTTATCAGGTGTGTGCAGGACAACACTCCTCTGTAGCTTGTGCAAATTGCGTAGAGTTTCAGGTTTGGCAATGAGATGGCTCTTTGGCTCCTCAGAACACCAGGTTCACGATGTCAGAGAGGTAGATTGGTTTCTCCACTCTTGAAAAAAAAGAGGGTTGTAAAGGGTTGTTTTTCTAACAGATTGAAATATATACACGTGGTTAGATGGTATAAGTCTCTAAGTTGGCTGGGTAATGAACTTAGCAACTCTTTACTCTCTTCGATGCAAATGCACCATCCATGACTGGCAGAGACAAGGTCTCTGAGTTCTGAGCATTGCCACAGCCTTTCGTCAGGCACAAGGGCTGACCCTCAAGGGACAAAGCACAGTAGGAGCCACCTGTACTTTACCTTGGTGTTGCTATGACCACAATATCTGAAAGGAAGAAGCCCTAAGGAAGGAGGGGTTTATTTTGGCTCATGGTTTAGAAACCAGGCCTCAGTTGCCTGGCCCTGTGCGCTCCAGTGGAACATCAGGTCAGCTGGGCTGTGTGTGGAGAACAGCTTGCCACACTGTGGTGCGTCAGGAGGTAGTGAGAACGGGACTAACTAAAGAGCCATTTATAACCGGCAACAGCTCTGTCCTAAGGGTCTAGAGAATTCCTTTGTCAGACACACCCTTCAGAAGGCTCCGTAGTGAGACAAGCTGTGAAGCAAGTGCTCAAAACACAAGCTTGTTGGGGACATTTCAGACTCAAACCATGGTGCATCAGAACCTTCATGGACTGCAGGTGCCTGAGGACGCCAGAGTCCTGAACACGCTCTGTCTCCTTGATCACACCCTAGATTTTCTTGATTATACCCAACAGCCCAGCGGGGTCCTATTCAGCTCAGAGTCACCTCAAGGTCAAATTCTTGATTCAGTTTGATGCGTTAAACTTTATATAGCTGATCTTTTGTATCTGCGGGTTCCTTATCCATCGATGAACTCAACTGCAGGTTGAAAATATTTGGGAGAAAAAGTGAACCTGTAACTGATCATGTATGGACTTTCTCCCTTACTGCTATTTTGTAAACAATGGATTATAATAGCTAGAACATAGCATTTACATTATAAAAAGGATTATAGGTTATCCAGAGGTGATGTAAAGTCTGTGGGAGGATCGCTCAGGATATAAACATATTGAGTCACCTCAGAGAGTGGACACGGGCATATCCAGCGGTCAGTACACTTGGACAGCCTCGAACGACTCCTTCACGGATGCCAAGGGGGATTGAAGGTTCTTTTCTTCTACAGCCATGGTGTTGAGCTCGCCAAAACTTTCCAGCAGTTTGTTTTTATTTACTCATTT